TCTTTGTTGATATTTTTTTATATGAAAATGTCGATTCATTCCTCATATTGATGTCAGATTCATTGACACATAGACGTGTCGATATGTTAACGGATACATTGACTCTAATCTGAATATAACAATCTGACGATTTAAGTTAAAAGACATATTCTCAATCAAAAGAAAAAGTTCAAATTTCCACATATACGTATATGTCAACTTGCAAAAGAAACAGAAAAAAAGAAAACTGCAATATAATATTCTAAGATAGGAAAAAGAAAAGAACCAATATATTATGTACACGTGGCTTGTGGGAGGAGAGTTGGCTGGAAAAACGAAAAAAGTGAGGGTAACCAATAAAAATAAAAAAAAAATAAAAAAAAAATAAGAAAGATGCGGTCACATGCGGCATAAAAAGGGAGCACGTGATTGGAAGGGGTGTGTGACGTCACTTTCGGTGGACGGGCGGACACGGAAAGTAGAAAAACAGAAAGATGATAGGGGCACTCCATCGGCGCAGATTGGATCACGGACATTTCCTTTTTTACTTTCACACTTCACAACTCCACGTGGCCTCCTCTCATTCATTATCGCCCCTCCACTTTTTTCTCCTTTTAAACCATAATCCTTTCTAATTAATTAAAAAATATATATATATACACACACATTACACAACTATGTAATTTAGTTTTAAACTCTATTTTAATCCTGAACTTTTGGTTTATAATTTTGCCAAATTGAACGTAGATCAAATGGTTAAGGTATCTATCTCTGATCAGAAGGTTATGAGTTCAAACTTTTGATTTATTACCATTTAATCTAGAAACGATACAAATGTTCAATTTTGCTTATAAATTTTTATATTTATTTTCTTTGATTCTTAAACCATCAAACTCTCTATTTTAATCCTTGAATTTCAATAGTCATTTTAATTTTCACCATTATTTTTTTTGTTAATTGTTATATCAACATATCGATATAGTTTCCCTCTACACATATATAGACATGATTAGAACCAACGAGGAGTTCATGTAGGTATTGAGATGGGCAGAAACAAGAGCATAGAAAACTTTTCAAAAATATATATATATACATATATTAGATAGCAAAATAATAACAATTAAAAAGATTAATGTTTTTATGTTATTTTAAAATACTAAAATATGGATATTTTTATATCCTAAAGACTAAAATATGATAAACCTAGAGTTTCATATGTAAAAATAGATTTAAGCCTACAATTTAATATAGATCTTTATTATATATGAATTAATTTAAACTTTTGAGCGAAAAAACCCTATAAGACAAACAAAATTTTATTTTATAGTTTTTTAGTCCAACAATATTGTGGAAGTAAGAGTTTGAATACGTGGCTTTTTGGTCAAAGATATATGCATTAATCAATTGAAAATTTTCATTTTATAATTTAAGAAGGATGAATTTGGAAAAATTAAATGAGCTAGGGAGCGGGGCTTCTTTATTGAAAAAGGGGGAATGAGAGGGGAAGGAAGAATGGAAAGGGGGGTGGGGAAGGTCCGGAAAGCCCTCACTTTATTGATGGGACATTTTGATCCCCTTTTCCTCTCACCCYGGTTCTGGTTCAGGAAAGGGTCAACACAAGGATCTTACTTCGAAGCAATCTCTGGAGTTTTCCCTTATCCGAACGGGTCTTCCAAGAAAATAGGATTTCATATTGAGCTCCAAATATACGCTATTGGGATAGGATGGCTCCTACTAGCTCTCCCCCCGTACGAACTGCACGTGCGAGTTCCCCCGCATACGGCKCAAGTGGCGAAGGCCCTTTCCTTCGCGCTTGGTAAGCGCTTCGCTTTAGCCAAGCTTCGAGAATCATAATGACTTAATTCTTAAACTATGAAATTTTATATAGTTTATAAATTTTATTTTTAACCCATTTATTTTAGTTTATCGATTCAAATTTAACTATAAGGTTTTAATATCTTCTATAGAATGATTGATTGATTTTTTTTTTTTTTAAATTTGTTGAGAATTCGTGGATAGGTAGTTGCTTGGCGAAGAGTTATTCAAGCTGCAAAATTTTCATCAAGCTGCAAAGTCGAAGAACTTCAACAAGCTGCAAAGTCGAAGAACTTCACAAGATGTAAAGCCAAAGAACTTCACGAGCTACAAGCCGAATGGGTGTATTATTATTATTTTTATTATTTTGACAAAAGTTATATATACTGCCAAAAAAATAATGGATCTCACGATCTGAGATAAAAACAACAAGGGAACAAAAATATGAACAGCAAATAATAAACAATATAAGAGACACACCACCTATTTTGATCTAGAAAAAACCCACTCATGAAAATAAATTTGAAACCGACCTCATCTATATAATTGGAAGCTAGAACCAATGCTATCTCGTCTTTTATAATTTTGTTGAACAAGTCTTAATAGGTACTATAACAAGTTTGAAATGTCTTCGTAGTTAAAATTGGGAGGTTTTTCTAGATGCCTCCTAAAAGCTATGTTGCTAAATTTTTGCTGATTTAATTCAATAGTTGGTCTTTGGGGAAAAAAAGAGATTAGCTTAGTTATAAAGAGAAATTTTGAAACTTTTTTTTTATATATATATAAATAAAATGTCAAATAGAAACTAGAAAGTATAGGGCATGTATATAATATTTAATTAATAAAATAATGGAGAGAGAGAGAGAGAGAAGGGATTTAGGGTTTACAAAGAGAGTTGATGGAAGTCTCATATCAACAAAGGAATCATTACTTCATAGCAATCCCAATGATTAGAGGGAGGGGAAGATCATCAAATCCAATCTATTCTTTTTTGACTCTCAACTTTTTTACAAAATCCAAAGAAATTCAAATAAAAAAGACAAAAATTAAAGACGGAGACAAAGAAAAAAGGGGGATAATTTTCATGCACCACTGCCACTGTCTCCCCTCTACCTTCTAAAACATTGCACTTTGAAATGACAAAAAGAAAAAGCCTTCCCCAAACTTACTCATTTTTTTCCTCCAAATTTTCACTTTTCCACTCTTCACACTCACATTACTACTGTTCTTTTCCCCCCACCTTTTCAATATATCTAGTATTTAAAACAGCCCTTGTTTTGCAGTATATCTATTTCAAATCTTGCGTGGGTAAAAAAATTTAGCATGTGATTAGGAATGGAAATTCGAATTCAAAAGCATCTTTTGAGTTTTGTTGCCGACAGAGTAGGCGATATAAACGCAGGAAAGGAAAGGTATGAGGATAATTAGGATAAGAATTACAACAAAGATTTCGACTGAAAATTCCTTCAGTCATAACAATTTTTAAAGAAAAGACGTTTTTCAATCTTATCTTTATAATTTAACTAATGTATTAAAGGAAAATTCAAAGAGATCTAATGATGGCTCAATAAACAACTACAAACGATTGCCAAAACGAGCATAGCTAGCAGTAATTGACATATATCTCTAACCAAGAGATTGTGAGTTCAAATCTTCACCCACACATCATATTAAAAAAAAAACAACTACAAAAGATTAAATTAGTATCCAATGTCTTTCTTACTTCAATGAGTCAATTTTAACGTTAAATTTTCGAGAGTATACGAGGACTAAAAATTAAAACACAACTCTAAATAAGTTTTTTTTTTTTTAAAGGTGTTTATTTGTTTATGTTATCGAGGTGTTTTGTTTTGTTTGTAAGTTTGCAAATGGTCATCTTTTCGGCGCGTGATGAGCGTTTTGACATTAATTTCGAATCTTCGTTAGGTCCACTTGAGATTATGGGAAGTATCTTTGACTAATCAACAGCCTGCCTTCTCTTTCTATTTTCTCTTCTTTTTGTGGAAGTAAGGAAGTTAGTTATTTTGCAATGTGAATAATTCTTTCCATCTGATCCTCATTTCCCTTTAACCATTTCCTCATCACTCATCCTTCCCCACTTCCCCTTTTTGCTTTTTCACTTAGATTCTCATTCTCATTCGCCACCCGTCTTTTTGACTCTGAGCAACTACTCTCTCTTTTCCCACGTCTATTTAGTTTTTATATTTTAAAATTTTACTAATAGGATTTTCAAGTGTACTTATAAAAATCTAATAAGCCCATGAACTTTTTAATCCTTACATTGGCATTTCAGTTCGACCTACTGACCAAAACTTACCAGCGTTGGATCAAAAAATTTAGATAAAAATTCAATCTCTAATACCATATAAAAGAACAAGTAACCTAAGAATTCACGATACGTAGAATGTGAACGTTGAATGATAAAGATCCAAAGTATGAAAGTTGTAATTGTAACRACCTGAATAGAGTTCAGAACCATAAGAAATCAAAGAAACCACTAATACAATGCAGCGAGCGACAGCTTATTGTGACTTTACAACAACATTGCGTTGCACACCATACTGAGACACCCCAAAACGACAACATAATGAGACGTAATGGATTTTTTGTTAGAGGTGGCGACACTATACAATTATAAGGATGTCTTACACCTAACGCATCATTGAGCAGATTATAAGACAGAGCCGAAGACAGACAAAGGCTGCAACAGCGGCAAACTCAGGACTTGGGAATTACTATGGGGTCATTATGAGGGGCACATAAGCTGAACACAAACCCAGTTTCCCAGTTGCTGGCTTCCCCCTTTTGCAGCTTTTGTTAACCTCAACTCCACACCACAGACACACACACAGCGCACTCGGTCCCTACATGGCCCCCACTCCACTACTGTTAGCCATATAAAGCTCGTTTTCTAATGGTCAAATGATAAGTTCAGTCCCCAAACTAATGGTCCTTGAGCTCTATATTTGAAAAAATCTGACAAGTTCCTTAACTTTCAATTTTGTGTCTAATAATTTTGTGTCGTTAATTTCATTAGTGTAATGCTTATAGCTTCCCGAAATCGGACTCAGCACAGCATCTTTAAGCAATACGATAAGCATGTTAGGTGCGTGTTGAACTGTCGGAGTTAACGACATGGGTTTATTAGACACAATTGAAAGTTTAGAGATCTATTATAATCTTTTAAAAAAATATAGGATACTAAATAGACACTAACTTGGAGACCAAACTTTAGTTTAACTTTTCCATCATTCAATCCATCTACTGTTCTGCATGTGGCTAGCCAAGCCCTTTCTCTCTTATGATAGTGAACCTTAAACAAAAAGCCCAAACGGCCGCAAGGAAAGAGAAGACATACCAGTTTCTGGGTCTGACATGGCGCCTCGTCACAGGAATCTTTTGCCCTTTTGTAAAGTTCAAATTAGTTGTATCACTTCTCCGTCACAACGTATCGTTACAAAACAACACCTTTCTGTCATAACGGGGTTTCAGTTTCAAGCTCAACAGCTGGCAATAAAGTGGCAGAGAATTTATAAGTTTCTAACAAAAGACTGCTGACTGACTGATTATACCAATTGTGGCCGGGACAGCTTTAATCCAGTGCAAATTGTCCCACTCGGAATTCCTTCACGTTCATTCGGATGATACAAAAATATAGCATGTTCTGAACCTGGACCCTCCTGAGTAAGTTTAAAGATAAATAATATTTACAAGTTCAGTAGAGATCTCATTGTTTAAACATAAAAAGTAAGACGTCCCTCTTTCTTTCCTCCACAATAAATAGAAACAGAGAGAATTGTTAGCCAAAAATAAAAGAGAGCATATGCGTTCTTCTTATTGCACATGATTTCATTCCATACAGCTCATAGCCAGCCACCTGTTGAAAAGTGAAAAAGCAGTACTCTCACTCCAGTTTGCTCTTGACCAGTCCTTTGAAAAAGTCCAAACTGTAGAACAACAGGAAGATGGCATAATCATCAGATTTAAGATCAGATCACTTTTTCTTTTTAGCCTTCTAAACTCAGCCCTCTACAATCATTGCATTTGAAGAAGAATTTAAACAGTCAAATTTGTCAAACACTTAGAATTGTGAGCTGATGCATGCAATGGAGAAACAGGGCATGTAGACATTACTTCCAGCTAAGTTCAAAAGGACTTAAAAGCAATAAATCAGAATTAAAATTTTCGTCTGAGTACACCAGATACTACACTATTTATTGACTGGGCAACAGGGCAGTCACTTCACGATCATTATGATTGATCATAAAGCACTTACCATAGAAGACGTTAACTTTACAGACCACTGTTTCTCAAGTCATTTGTAAATTTGGAATCAATTCTATGATAAAGGCAGTTGCATACATAGTAAGCTATCTTAAAATAATAGCAAATCTAGCGTAAGTTAAAAAATTTGCAAATATGGTACAACTTTTGAAAAGGCTTGTCAACATATCTCTACCCCGCACATCATCAATGAACAAACGTCTACCACTATTGATATACACTAATACACCGAGAGATGTTCGCCCTACAAAATTGTTATATTTACAAAATCTTATTTTTTGTGTCATATTTGTAAATATGGACAAATTATTTGCCATCCATTATAATTCCCCATTTTGTAAATAATCAAATTTTAGTTTAGTTATTATGACAGATCTTTCCCATTTTCCAAGTATCTAACTACAGTACCCAAAGGAAGGAAAATATTTTAGACTGTGGACCAGATTTCGGCTGAAAGCCTGAGATACAATATCTAATTTTCCTATTTGTTGTTTGAACTTCCACGTTGGGGCAAATGGTATACATATATCAAGTTCATTTTTCTCTATAACAAAATGAACTCTCTCAGTCTTCGAGGCTTACTTTTGAAACACAATCCACATGCTACAGACAGATGTCATACTCTTGCAGCCCATATCTCAAATTGTATCGAACAGTTGCAAAAAATAATAGCACACCATCTAGTCATTTCACTGAATCAAGAATGGGAGTCAATTCAAATACTTCACCTATTTCCATCGGGATGGAGCTCGCACATTTGGTTGTCATCTCCAATAGCTAGCAAATATCCTGAAGATGTCAAACCCTGTATATGGAAACAAGCAATTCTGAATCCATACGCAACCAATTCCAGTGTTTAAAACCATGAAAATCATAGAATAATGCATTGAGCACTCTCCAGTACTAAGTTGAACAACAAACTGATGTTGAATATTTAACAAGGACATAGATTTTTTCTCTGTTTTCTTCCTTCCAAAAGTTTTAGCCAAGACCAGTTCGGGGATACGATTATCTAACAACTACAAGACAATAACAAATCCAATTGCAGGAAACAAGGTCTTGTGTTCTGAAACGAAAAGATATTAATAACCACAGTGAGGGACAGAGAGCAGTGGGATTAATTTTGCAGCATTTTTGTTAGGCGTTTTAATACTGGAGCTGCCACAGAAATCAGCTGTTRTTCAGATATCACGTACCTGAATAGTGACTACATTTTCCACTACTTGGTCTTCTTTCTTTTCTTGTACAATAACTCTTTGCCCACTACATACACAGATCTAAATAAAATCATATCTATAGCAAAGAAAATATAAGAACTAATTAGCATAACTTGCACTATACAATATGTCACAAATATATATACACAACAAAACAATCAAAAGTGATCTGCTGCAAAATATTTAATGTATTACTAGCTCCATAGACATTAAGCACTGAAAAATCACACAAGATATTCCATTACCAGGATGTATTGGTCCCCATGGCATCAAATGTATAGACAATAACACACAAACAATCATGAGAATCCTGGAATAGAGCACGTGTTAAATAGAAAGATCAATCCACATTAACGAGTTACCTGTGCAACCATGTCTGATAGTAAAGTTCCTCAAGAGCCTGAAACCCTAATATTCCAGAAATTAAGAAGCAAAATGCATTATCCCGATGCACATAAGCTAATCCAGACCCTCACGAATATTTTTTAAAAATGGCAAAAATAGCAAGAATAAGGTCAACAGGGAAACTTTGAAACTGAAGCTGAACCAAATTGAGATAAACATGATGTTGGCTATATTTAGGGATATGACAGCAAGTTAAGAAGGTAACGATAAATGAGGTGCGTGTCACAAAAATTCTAGCTTTTTCATGAGAGAACAACCTAAAAATCTACATCCTAAATGAACAATATCTTAGTTTTCTCTCTCTCAGTCTCTCTCACTACCTCCAGAGTCCATAGGAAATAATAAATATTGCTCTGATCTTTACAAACTACAAAGATGTGTAACTAGAAAACAGAAAGTTTTTTTCAGCCTCCGTTCTTTTAGCTTTTTGATATTTCTTTGGCTTTAGATCTCATCTATTACCATGTATTTTGATTCCTTTCTTTGGTTGTTTTTCTTCTTTTTTTGCTTCTTTTGGAAGCTTGTATCCTTGAGTATTTTTCTTCCTTTTCATATTATCAATGAAAATTTTGTTTATTGTTTAAAAAAAAAATTAGAAAGATTTCCTTTACGTATAATTAATCATCTCAAGTCCTCCAACCCTTTATGCCATAAGGTAGAACCCAAATGCTTCACATACACAAAACCTTAAGGCAATGAACTGTGTGATGTGAATTTTAAGTGATAGGTTCCCTTTACATATATATAATTTTATTTATCTTAAGTTCTCCTATCCTTTATGCATACAAAACCCAAATTTTAGCATGCACAACACCTTGAGGCTACAGCATGATGTGGTAGAATGATGTTCAGCTCTGAGGGAAAAAGAAGAGAGATGGAAAAATTCAAATTCTGTTGGCAAATAGTGTTTGCTTAGCTGCATTAATTTTTAATAATTCAAAAGCATCTCCAGAGCATTGTTAAGGCAAGATTGAAGGAGAAGCTCTAAATCCGTGCATGCATGTGATATGCCTCATCACGAGGAAGACATTTGATTAACAAATAAATACCTTGATTTATGAAAATATCGTGCAATCTTTCAAATTTGTTAAAAAAGGATGCTAAGATATCCTCCCTCCTGAACTTGTCAGGTGTACTGGACAAATTTTTAAGAGCTGCATTCAAGCATGTCGTTGGTTTATCATTGTCCACATTCAAGCCTATACCTGGAAGAACATGAAGCAGTTAAAATATATCACAGCCACACCAGGCTTTTCAAATTGGTGCAAGGTACGGAAGGTATGGAGACTATAAGTTTCTACTTGGAAGGGGAAAAACAAACTGCAGAAGAAAATTAGACGAAAAATAAACGAACACAATTACCAGCACTAACGTTGAACTTCTTTGATCTATATGTTGAAGTGCACAGAATGCCTCCAAGTTTCAGGCCATTCACATAAAGATCATTTGGCCACTTTATTTTCAAATCAATATAGGGTAGTCCCTGAAATAGGAATCCAAAGAGAATGAGCTAACCTAAAAAATGCAGCACCATTTACAAATGAACGAGATAGTTAAGTGTCATTGGCACAACGAAAATAACTGAACATGTAAGGGAGTCTAATCATCTCCATAGTGCACTAAATCAGTTCTGAATTTAGGAAACCAGTCTACCATGAATCGAATTGAAACCCTACTAATCGTAATCTATTCAATTTAAAGGACAGATTCTTTCCAACAAACTGTTTCCTCACTCTACGACCAAAGTTTCAGTTGTTTAGCATAGCAGGGCATTGAGACAACCCTAGGCGCTATAGAAATTAACAGTATCACTTGGTGGTCAGATTTTTCAACTAGAAGATCAATTCTAATAGAGTTCCTATATTTAACAAAGTAATATTTCAATGAGAGTTGATAATACGGGCAAAAACATGACAAAAGTTACCTTTTTGTCGCAAATATCTTTTATGGCCTCGGTAATAGCAAGAGATACAACATACTGTAGTAGAGGAACAATACGCCCATCTTCCATTTGAATGGTAAAGGAAAACATAAGGCAACCAGGGGGAGATTCCCACAAATTCTTCGATCGACCTTCATTTAAATCCAGAAAGTGATTTTAAATATAAACAGGAATTCCAGAACTAACAGAGAATGCTATCAATTTGTTGTCACTTATTAGCACTACGCACCTCTTCCCTTGAACTGAACATCAGCCACACAGACAGAACCCAATGGAAGGTCGCTGAAGTTGCTGTTGCAAATTCACAGTTAGCTAGCTCGTCAAATAATGAAAAGTAGCGGGAGGGGGGAAAAATAAAAGAAGAATTGTGGCTACTCTTACTGAGAAATGACGTCTTGAGTTGAAGGAATCCGCGGACACCAAATGAGGAATCTACCAAAAGCATCAGTAGAAAGAGAATTCATATACAAATCAATCTGAAAACCATTTTCCTCCAAATGCTTATCCGCTTCTGAGTGTAGAAAAACCGAAAGTCCAGTATCGTCAGGGAGCTTCAGAGTGTTATTCCTCTTCAGCAATTTGGCAGTTTCGTTCTCAGCCGCTGTTTTTCCACTCAAAACTAACGCACAGGTTGAACTGGTCTCCATTGCTGAACCAGACAATAGATAGAATAATCTACTTTTTTCCCCTCTCTTAAACGGAAGTCTCTGTTCCCCAGAAGAAGACGAATTTCAATCTTCTAAACTCTCACCCCACCCCATATACTTGTCTGGCTCTAAAATTAGGCTCAAATCAACGCAATGAAACCAAAATTTCAGGAAAAGTACCCCTACGTGCATAGAAAGGCTACGAATGACGAATATGTTGAAACAAGCAAGAAACAAACCTGGGGCGGGCACTGAAAGAGAGCGCGCTGAAGCAACAACTTTGGAGTTTACGATGGAGAAGAAGTAGCGCGAGTCTCGCCTGCTGAAATAGCGAAGTTGGTTCGCTAACAACATGTCATAATCATCTCGTTTCTCTCATGGACAGCCAGCCTCCAGTTCCATGGCAGGACTCTCGGTCTCGGTTGATGCGGAGAAAACAACATGGTTTATCGTTACGCGACGCGTTGCTATGTTTGCGTCACAGATGCATTTGAGCCGTAGATCGTAGACCTGACTGGTGGGACATCCGCTCTTGAACGAATTGTGACCTCTCTATATGGTCCACTTCGATAATATATCTTTTTAGGTTAATTCATATATTTTATAGGAAGGATACAAGTATACTATGTTTCTAAATATCCATCCATGTTTTTTAGAGTTTTGCATCTGTACACGGGGTAAATCGATATTTCAATCCTAGAATAAAAAAATTGACAAAATATGAGAAATATCACCAAAATGTAATATATAAATAATATTTATATTAATTATTTTTTAACTTATTTAGAAATATGAAAATGTTTATTTGTTAATTTAAATATTTTTTTTATAATTTTTCAATTTCTATAATTTTTACATAAATATCTATTGACATCGACATTTTATCGAATTTTCCATGAAATTGAGACATCGACATTCAAAACCTTGTAGTATAGTTAATATATTTAATATAAAATATATCATTAGCGATATATATTTTMTATTAGTTATAATTATCACCGATAAACTTTCTTTAAATTTTTTGTTTCAATAACATCGCATACTTTTTTTTATTGATATATCAAGTGTTGATGCAAAAATMGGCCCATACGATTTCGCCACGTGGGAAATCATATTGTTGCCCCACATCAAGTATTTTAGTGATGTAATTCATTTTGGAAGTATCACTRGTAAATCTTATTATGATTTAAGATTTTGGTTTAAGTGAYGTGGTAGCTTTCTTATTGATGTATCAAACATATAAATGAATTGTATCACTTATATAACTTGTATATAATGTAAAATATAYCAGTCACATTAAATATATAAATCATATATTTCATATTAAGTGTATCATCGATAGATATTTCAAGTAGAATATTTTAATCTATATTGTAGGTTTTTTATTCATATATCAAGTATATCAGTGGTATATTTTATTTTAGATATATCGCTCATATAACTAATATATTACTGAGTATATCATTGATAAATTTTATGGAAGTTTAAGATTTTGGTTAGAGTAACTAGTTTATGATCAATATACCAAACGATATTTATGTTTATGTTTTAATTAATTATGTTTTTTTTCCTTAAACATTCTCATAATTGTATATAAATATTTTAAACAATTAAAATGAGTTTTTTTTTTGTTCCATTTCCAATTTGTTACAATACATAGATATAAATATTTTGGATCATCGTTGAATTCGTGGATGTTTGACTCATGCAATTTAATATTTTTTTATTAGAAAAATAAGAAACGGTAATGTTACCGAGCCTGCTTTCTGAGTTATCTGACAATGTGTTGAATACTAATATGAACTAATGGTGTGGATTAACACATTCTCCAGGACTCTTTATTAGCTTAGCCTAAGATCCATATGGAAACTTACCAACCCTCATTGGATTAGCGATGCTCACCTTTCTTAAGCAAATTTCTTGCATCACAAATTTTGATGTCGGAGAATATCACAATCAAAGAAAGCTCAGCAGTGGCGAAAGAGGCCATAGTAGTGGGGAAAAAAACAGAACAAAATAACGAAAGGAAAAAAAAAAAAAAAGAACAGCTTGACTAACCATCAAGTCATGCATTTGCACATGTAGAATGCGTAGACGCATTCTTAATTTTGATGCTATTCAAGTTGCGTTGCCTCCATATCTACAACAAAACCCAGAATTTGACACTAGTTAATTTGAATGTAACGTTGTCATATTTTATCCAACTGATTCATGATGGTTCAAGAGCCTTTGCTCACAACACGAGGCATGTTTGAACATCATTGCAAAAATTGACGAAAAATATGCTTCCTAGAACATCCATCCATACGACCCATAACGAAAGATCTCAACTTTTTTAGGAAGGAGTGTGATGCCAATACACCCACTAATTGATATTGTTGAAGGGATCGAGGTTTATGTTGGAAGACACACTAGAGAAGCCCACCAAGCCTCTGGTACATGGGCAAATCTTCTTTCACCGTGTGGGTTGAAAGCGACGAGAACTCCAGAAGCGGCGTGCCTCCACAATACAAGACCAACAAAAACTTGGTCTTTATTTGCTTTCAAGTTCTGTCCACTGGTGTCATCTCTTCTATTGTAATTGTATTGGCTTAGCTTTAGCCCATTTCCTTTTTTGTACTCAACTTCAGGTTTTTGATGCACCATTTTCATTAGGGCAATTCTTTTTGCTCTAATTGATGGACAATTTACATGTTACTGTTTGGTATTCAGGTGGCTCTACCGCTAGTGGGTATAGGAAAGCGAAAGCACTTTTATTTCRGAGCTTAGTCGGTACTGTTGGTGCYCTGTGCTCGGGGCATTCATGGAGGATTTGCAGAGTTATTTGAACGACCGTGGGTTAACAGTTACTATTTTGCCGGAGAAGGGCCGGAGCCTCTTTACCACCAGGGTTTTCCATCCGGGTCAGTTTCTTTCTTCTTCCTTTGTCTTTCGTATTGATTTTCTTTTTTATTAATTGGAATCGAGAGAACTCAGAAGCTTCCATGTTTTCGTGCTTGAGCAAACAAGCTCATACTGGGGTTCAACTATGGTTTTATAATATATTTGGGTTGCGTAGATAGACTCAAAACTATTCGCACCGCTGTAGGCGTAAGATATGAATGGCCAACATTGGGCCGCAAAATTGAGAAATAAAGACAAACACAGGCTTCTACTTCCTAGTTCAGACCTTGGGTCTACGAAAGGTCGCTTGGGACCTGGACTAGTTTGAAGCATTTTAGCYATATGCCATAGGCTGGTTGTTATATGAAATTCTATTAAAATTATGCTGTTAACTGTAATCTCACTCTACAATTAAARTTCCAATATGTGGTTGTCATGCACGGTACCGTCCAATATGTGGAAAATTTATTCTCTGTGGAGTTTTTTTTTGACATAAACAAATGTACTTCAAAGTTTGTGCAGTGCCGATAGTATCTGTTGATGGAACTATCAATGTAAACAAAAATTTATGGGACTGATTATGATTAGTGTTGCAGGAGAAGAAATAATTAGCCAAGAACCTTATGTTTGTGTCCCGAATAACTCAAAAGTCGAGTCAAAATGCGACAGATGTTTCACATCAGTAAGCCTTAAGAAGTGCTCAGCTTGCAAAGTTGCATGGTATTGCAGTAGTATGTGCCAGGTATGTGAGACAGACTAACTTTTTCGTGTTCCTCTTCCCACCATTTTATGCATCATTGAATTTGACCATCTTTCTATAAACCTTAAGCTAAAGATCAAACATTGCTTGTGACTTGTTTGCATGTTAGGATTGTGCAAGAAACTAAACCATAATTTGAAAACTTTTGAGCAAATTTTAGGACATATTTCTCTTGTTTAAAGTATGGTTTCAAATCCATCCTATTCTCAAATCAATAACTCTTGCAAAAAGAAGATTATGTTCTGTCAATACTAGTGTGACAGAGTGCCATTTATATTTTACAAATTCGATATTCTTCCTATGCCATTTTTATGCAGTGACTAGCAGATGGGTTGTATTGGTGGCTTGGGCCGCTTGGCCTCTAATAACAACTTAGCGTGATTGAACAATGGGGTTTGACTAKTTTGTACTTCAATGACTTTCAGAAGTTAGAATGGAAATGGCATCGTCTTGAATGTGATGCTCTCGCAAGGCTTGACAAGGATAGGCACAAATCTGTTACTCCATCTATAAGGTTGATGATCAAACTCTTTATTCGGAGAAAATTGCAAAGTGAAAAGGTAAATTTTTTCCCTCCACTTTTAATCAACACCTCCTGTTTATATTGAGATTTTCATGTTTATTATATGGAAACTGCTGTTGGGAAATATTTTTTAGCTTCATGCTTTCCATGTTAGACTTGTTTGTGAAAAAATAATAGGGTAGGAAATTAAATCGGAAGTGTGGTTTGGCCTTGAAGCTTTATCGATAGTTGAAATGAGCAGCAGAATAATCAATTATTACTATGGGTCTTTTTGGCTGTAGATAATGATGCCTATTAAGCCCCACACATCAATCCAGGAAACTATCCTACAAATAGCAAAAGACACCACAGCATGAAAGAAGGTTTTTCTTCCCTTTGAAGGGGCGACCTTCCAACACCGTCATTATATAATCCTCCGAGGATTTTGGTCAAAAGGACCGCTGGCCAAAGATATTGAAGAAGTTTCCACCAAACTTTCTGCATAAAAATGCAGTCCACGAAAATCTGATTGGTGGAAAGATTAAAATTTGGATTTCTTATAAAAGTATTTAACCTTCCTAAACAAACAGTTTGAAGAAAGACCTTGCATTTCTTAGGATCTTTTATCCCCAATTTTTTTTGCAGAGATCTTCATGAAGGGGAATATAAAAAAAGGGCTTTACTAGAACAGTAATCATCCTCCCATATTTCACTCTTGCTCCATCTCATAATTAGAACATGGGGAAATGAACACAGTAATAAATTTTGCAATTGCCTTCCCCAGGCTTTTAGAATTGGAGTAGCTACAGGAACCTACAAAAAAATGAGAGACATCCGTACTCTCTTTTCTAAGAATTATCTTAAGCCAAACGTGATAGCTTCTCTAGGAAACTAAAGCAGAGGGCTGTATTTMAATGTGTGATGTTTGCAATATTCCCCAACAAGAAAGTGTATATTAGTTCGGGGAAGTATATAATAACTCCGCTATGTCTACTTGATCAAGCTTCAAAGACCATGATCTGATAGTAGTGGCGTTGTCAGTTAACAATTCCTGTTCTATTATGTACATTTAATATGGATGCTCATGTTAATGTGACCTAGTCTTAAGCAGGCAAACCTTTGGGGTTATGAAATTGTATTCTAACATAATATGTATATTTCTTTATCTTGTCGTTTTTAACATTCTCTGATTATGTTTTTCTTTGTCAATATTCATGTTTACGTTAAAAGCACAAATAAGAAACTTTTTAAGTATGATGCGGCACTTTCATGTCTTCTGCAATGGATTGTTTTAAAAATTAATAATCTAATACTTCTAGCTCTAGATATATATATTATTCTTTATTTTTTGCAATTTGTAAATATATTGTTCCTTTATTGTCAGGTCATACCTACGACTGCAACAGACAATTATAAATTGGTGGAGGCACTAATAGATCGTATCCTCATTTTAGGAAGTTCTCGATCTTAATATGTAGTATATGATGCATTGCTATTATAACTATAGCATTCAACTTGCGGTAGTTTTGTTTTGTTTAACCATTTTTCCGACCAGACATGTCTGTCATAGATGAAAAACAATTGGTGCTGTATGCTCAGATGGGAACTCTTGTGAATTTCATCCTGCAGTGGCCAGAAATTAACGTAAAAGAGATAGCAGGAAACTTTTCCAAGGTCCTACATTTAGCATTTATATCTCTACATATTTTCTATTGTAGCAGAACATGACTTCTACTTACTAGGCCTTAAAATTCAAAATTTTTAAAAAGCATTGTGTTTCTTGGCATTCTTATTTATAAATTGGACTGTCTAACAAAAAGTTTCATGTAGTAATGGTCATTTTTAACTGGATGAAGGTCTCATTAGCCATAATTTTATCTTGGCCAGTACGCACCGTAACATGGGCAGTAAGTTGTCCAATTAACTGTTAGTATCTTAACATCTATTTTTGGCGKAAATTTATCTAGGCCATCTTTTAAGCATTGGTTTTTCAGGATTAGCACTTCCTCTGCTGCTATTATTTGATTTAATACCTGAAATAAGTTATGTTGCTAAATCATATTTTCCATAAGCACAAGGTCCGATAAGATCAGTATTGCATTAATTCTTGGGAAGTCTAACCCCGTGCATTTGAATGCAGCTTGCGTGTAATGCACATACCATATGTGACAGTGAACTCAGACCCTTAGGAACTGGACTATATCCTGTAATCTCCATTATAAATCATAGGTAACTCCTCTCAAGACATATGTTTTGGATATGCATTCATAACATCATCATAATAATCTACWAGGTCTCTAAGTGATTTTGGTACTATAGCTGCTTGCCCAATTCTGTTCTGGTATTTGAGGGAAGATCTGCTGTAGTCCGTGCTGTACAACACATACCCGCAGGTGCTGAGGTATTTACAACTTCCCTACCTATGTTCAGTTTTCTTCCCACCTAGTTCTCTATATTTTGCTATGTCAATGAACATGACTGGATGCAAAGAGGCTAGAAGGCTTCGGGTTTCTGGTTTGAAAATTAATTTCTTCGAGTCAAAAGTGGTTGCTATTAATTGCATTGAAGCTAGAACTCTAGAGGTGGCTAGTAGGAACCTTGCTTTGAATTTTTAAGAAACGAACAGCCATTTAGGTTCATGGATTAGGTTTGTCTGATGTGTTTTGTACCTAGTGAGTAATCTAGACAGACAAGTTTCTAATTCCTCACAATCTACAGTTGAATTAGGTTCGTTTGAGGAGCAAGGATTGGTGACAGGTTGCAGTCATGTTATCGTTTTATCTGTACATCTTGTCTGCTGTAGCTCTATTTTATTGTTCTCTTGTCTCTATTGTTTTATGATTAATGTTCCCGAGCTCCATGTCTAATCATATTTATTTGGTTATATTTTATTAGGTGTCGATAAGTTACATTGAAACTGCTGGAAGCACTATGACTCGGCAAAAGGCGCTTAAAGAAAACTACTTTTTCACTTGCACTTGCTCTCGATGCGCTAARGTTGTAACGATAACTGCATCTTTTAGATGTATTTCATCCTTGATTTAAAACACATTTTGTTTGATTGGAACAATGGAGTTGTTATTTATATGATCAGTTTTTCCCCCTCTAAAAACTTAAAGGTTCAAGTAGATGAAATCAAAGAAAGTGCAATTTTGGAGGGTTACAGGTGCAAAAATGGTCAATGTGATGGTTTCCTGCTCCATAATTCTGGTATGTGATATTTTACTACTGGATCAGTAACCGAGAATGTGCTATTATTTAAATGTTCTTTTTTACATGCAGATGACACTGGATTCCTGTGCCAGCAATGTGGACTCCTTCGAAATAAGGAAGAGTTAAAAAATATTGCTAGTGAAATAAAATCGATATCAGATGAAGCTTTTACTTCTATGTCTTCCCACAGTATCCTTCAGTCTTTAACTATAAAATCATTAATGGTAGTCCGGTTCTGTCACTGATTAAATATTTTAAAGTTGATTAATTATTTTAAAGTTAGTTAAGTCAATGAATTTTTAGAGTTGTGTCTAATAGGTTTCTAAAATTTTAGAAAGTGTCTAATAGGTTTCTCAAATTTACATTTTGTATCTAATTGGTCCCTAAACTTTGAAAGTATATAATAAGTCTTCAAATTTTCAATTTTGTATTTAACAGGTATTTTACTTGTTAGACATTTTTTATAACTCACATACCTATTAGATACAGAAGAATACTATGCTCAATTTGATCTTTGACCAAATTCAGATCATGCAGAAGCTTTATGTATGYATGAAAAAGTTGAGAAACTCCAAAGGATATTATGCCATCCTTGTTCCATCAGTTTGATGCAAACTCGAGAAAAGCTTCTCAAGGTAAGCTAGCCACCAATACTTTTTACTTTTCCTTTTTCGTGTTATTATTCATACATAACAAACCAGCTTGTGTGAGTTATGCTTACAGTATTTTGTAATCAAATGTCTTTTGCAGATTTCGATGGAGCTAGAGAATTGGACAGAAGCTCTAGCATACTGCAAATTGACAATTTCCGTCTATCAGAGTATGTCTCTTTCTTTTCTTTTTTTTTTGTTTTGTTTTGTTCTGTTTTTTTTTTTTTTAGTTTTCGTACAATAAGAGTATGTCTTATTTGTTATTATTCTGGTAAATTAGTTGTTTTGGGATAATAAGTGGATAATGTGTCTAATACAACTGCAAAATTTACTCTTTTGTTCCTCAGCTTTGAATTTGAATCAAGATATTACACATGAAAAAGGTAGAAGTTAGATTTGTAGATAAGTGCAAAAGCAAGTGGGAAAAATATTTTCCGCACTCAAAGAGTGTTACCCCACTTTCTCTTTAGTCATAGACTCATAGCCCAAAGGTTTGCAATCCGGTATTATAAGGTTTACGTGGGAAGTAGAGTGGCCTGGATGTTTACAATCATCACCTAATTGCAAAATGAACAACTCTTTAATTTATCGACGCCAAATATTGTAGAACTAGAAAGTTAGTAGAATTRATCGTAATGCATGCAAATTAGCTCGGACACTTAAAAAAAGTGTTTAGGGAAAAAGAGTCATGGAGTTGACGAATCCTTTAAGGATATTCTGCATGCATAAATGAACAAATGCAGGATGAGGGGCTGTGGGGGAAGATATAGCAAACTTTACCGAGCTAGCATATTTAATTCGGTTGTTGCCTAGGATTACTTTCTTATATGTATTACCCGATATTTTAAAATTTAAAACTGGCTTTGCTCAAAACGAGTCTGGCTTAGGAGCTGAAAGATTGTTCATTTTCATTCTCATTTCTTGTAAAAAGAAGAAAAAAAAGAAAAAGAAAGAAGCATACAAAAACATTCAAGGGTTAGTTTTTCTAGTACGAACATGGCCTTTTCAGCAGAGAGAGAAACATATACGAAGCTAGCCAAAAGTTGATGGAGATTACCGAAACRCTCTTACAATTGACAATAATGGAAAAGATTAGAAAAAATATGAATGTGAAAGACTCTGAGAAGAGGCTATTAAACACACTAACACCTAAAGTATTTAGGTAATGTTTGTAGAGCTATTCTCTGAAGCATTAGCAACATGCTGGCATTCAGAATTTATTTCCCAAGTTAAAGTTGTTTTCACATTATAGAGCTGGTGTCGGTTTGAACMCAAGATTACAATTTGGTTTATTTCAATTTRTTCATTTTTTTTGTTACTCAAATCATCTTACATGCATGTTGTAGTAGTCCCTGGGAATCCTCCTCTTAAAYTACTATTATATTTTTACTTGAACTTGAAGACCATGTTTGGTCGTGTGTTGCGATTCTACATAGTTTATCAGTTTATATTCTGAGTCAACTCTCTTTGATTGCAGAACTATACCCAGGATTTCTACATAGTTTATCAGTTTATATTCTGAGTCAACTCTCTTTGATTGCAGAACTATACCCAGGGTTCCATCCGTTGCTTGGATTGCAGTTCTATACATGTGGGAAACTAGAATGGTTGGTAATGCTCGATGATATTGTTTCATTTACCAGTCCCCTTTTCTACAGACAGAAAACACGGGGACAGGGAAAAGCTGAAAAAGAAAACTAAAGATAAAACCAATCTCTACCTTATTTTATTTCCTAAAGCTCAAAATGCTGCATGATTACATTGGTTGGGATGTGTCAACTCATTTGCTGTACTTGAGAATGATATCAAAATTAACCAAAGCATTATCATCTGGCTTAATTCGTTTGCAAAGCTCTCTGGTATCTGTGGCCGGAAGAAATAGCAGGATTTTTAAGACAAATGCAGGGAAAGGACAGAATTTTGGAATTTAGAGAGTTTTGTTGCGTCCTCTTGGACCAGCTTTTGAAACTACCTTCCCTACTTACCCCTTATAAAACCCAGTTGGAAGCCTTTTTGTTTCAAACATTTACCAACTAGAGGGAGAGAGAGAGAGATAGCGCGGGGACTTTCCTCTGTTACCATGTACCCTGAAGCACTGTCAGCTGCTTGATGTCTCGAGTTATTCTGCAAACTATAGTTTTTTGTTACACATGTCATTGTGCTGCTTACTATAGACTCGTCAGTCATCACTCATGAAGGGGCTTTTTATAGTGGAAGGGCTCTTGTTACATTGACTTCTAAAAAATTTGATGCTATTTCATTTGCAGGCTACTTGGGTATACAGAGGATGCTGTAAAATCTTACACCAACGCATTTGATATACTGCGAATTACTCATGGAACTAATTCAAGTTTCATGAAGGAGCTGTTGCTAAAGTTGGAGGAAGCTCGTGCTGAAGCTTCTTATAAACTCTCATCTATGGATGAGTAGACCCACCATTACTTTTAAATGGTGAGTTCAGATCCACGTTTCATATAGAACCTTTGGTTATAACTTCTGCTTCATGTCCTAGATGCAAATTATGCCCACCTGTGCCTCAGTTCCCTTCATTTCTCACAGTGAAGTCTGGATGATAATTCTTTGATTGACCACATGAGAAGGTTGACCTCGTTTTCAATCTTGTCTGTCTTATTATCTGGTATGTTAAGAACAAAGAGCCTGCCAGGCATATCTATACACGTTTCTCTTTATTAGATACCTTCACTAGGGATTCGCTGTACATTTTTTCACCCAAAATAATTCATCAATTGGTAGCACTTCAGTTAAATCTGATGATGATTGGTTTTTGAACAGTGTTATTAAGATGTGGGGAGTGAAGTTCAAGGAGGTGTACTTATATACCAAGTTTGAAGAGAGATTTCCGAAGTATTGGGACCAACATGCACTATCAAATTCAAAGTTTTCCAGCCAATGACATGAAGAACAGAATTAGGTTCCACCAGCTTGAACATTCTTGTTCCTGACTTCATCATTTTACTGAAAGTTAAACCTAATACTAGTTTTTGTGCTGCACAATGTGGAAGTACTGCATCTCAGAAAGGGAAAGGTTGCTGGAGCCATATAACTATTTAGGGTTCATTTTGTTCGTTCAAGAACTTCTTTTCGACCAACAAAAATGCGTTCCTTTTTAAAACAAAATATAAAGGGAGAACASGATTGCATTCTTTGAATCCTTTGTTTCTGAAAATACATTTGGTTATTGTTTTGAAAATGATTATAGAAGTCAAAACATATGAAAATGTGATTGGCATGCTTGGTCTAGTTAATTTCATTATGTATTTATATATCTACTTTGACTATGGCGTTGACAAAAGGACAGAGTTATATTGTTGCTACTTCATTAAAATTACCATGGACTTTATAATGTAGCATCACTGTACTCTAGTTAATACATTAAAGTTTTCATTGCAAACTTATACAGAAGGCTTAGACGCAACCCATGGTTATCATACATGGGAGCACCATTTTTTTTAGTAATTAGGAGTCCGAAGCTTTGCTCTCTATACTAGGGGCACTTATGTCCGCCCCAAGGTCCGGATTCATAAGACATCAAGGATTTTTCATTGGAAGATTCGAATTTGAGACCTCTAAACCAGCATGATCAAGAGACTCCAAGTTCTTGCTAAATTGAGCTTCTTGGGGCGGGAGCAACCCTCTAAATTCTCTAGAACAATTCAAAATTTTCAATAAATTATGGTCCTCAGACAAATCTCATCTTATAAACTACAAAATATGTACTTGTTGTGGCTATCATGCATGGGAATCCATAAAAATTATTGGCAGAATTCTTTCTTGTAAAAAAATCCCATGTTTTTCCACATCTCCAGATCTTATTACGAAATTCAGTTAAACAACCCTAAAGATCAGGCTGAAATAAGTAACCGTTTTTTAAATTGATTTCATTTTTATGTTTTCCGAATGCAAAGTTGGAATCATCCTTGAAGGAGCTAATCAAAAGCTTGAGGTCTACAATTACAGCACAAAAGTTGGAGCTTCTCAATTTCAGAACACAGATGATCCTGTGTAAACAATATACAAATATGTCAAATTCCGTTGGAATAACTGTTGGACACTTGAATACAAATTGCTAGATGTTCAACATGCACAGTTTCTGTGTTTCGTCCCGGAAGAAACATAAATGGTAAGCTCTCGAACAAAACTACAAACAAATTTACATCCTCAGCGAAGAACACAGTTATAACGATATATATTGTACACTATTGGCAAACCATACAGAAGTATTGAATTGATTAAGCCAGCTTCTGACAGGAAAAATTAGATACTCTAATGCGCCGAACCTGGAGGAGCAAAAGCAGCATCTCCCAAGAAGCAGCCTCATATTCTATCAATCATCAGCTATTCAAATCCAATCTTTTCAGGCCGAAGAGAACTCGAAACCAGTCCTCGAACAAGAAACAAAATTAGGATTTCGACCTTTCGTCTTTGTGAGTTGCTAGATTTTTGTGGAGCAGAAAATAATTCTTTGACGTTTGGGAAAACAGCTCACTTTGATTGTCTTTTGAAGTTATTAACAGAGATGTCATTGGCTGCTCAGAGTTTATGAGCAGTTGTTGAAGCTGAGAACATAGGTATGAAGCTTCCTGGTCATTTTCACAAGTTTCAGCAATAAGTTGCAGAAGCTTGGAACTCTGGTCTTGAGATAAAGATAGGTGTGGGGACACCGGGGGTACGAGAAAAGGGTGTTGAAGCAACTGAGGAATTCTCCACCTCTCATTACGCTCCCATGCAAGGCATTTCTTCATAAGATCAAGAAGCCAATGGTTGCCCACAGGTTCGTATTTAATCTCATGATTTGGGTCTGTAATAACTTTGAACTTGGCCCAGAATGTCTTATACTCAGAGAAGGGGGTCCTCCCATATACCATCTGATAAAGAATGCAGCCAAGGGACCAAATATCAGATGGTCGACCACACTTGATGGTGTTTCCATTGGCATCTTTCTCATTGCACATAAATGCCTCAGGGGACATGTAACTAAGTGTACCCACCTGGGATAYCAAAAAAATTCAAAACCAAAACGGAACAAAAATACAAAATTGCTCTAACCATATCTTATTTGTCTGATTAATAACTAAGAATGCAACAAAAATGGATGCACCTTTGCATTATTGCACATTGCAACATTCGTATGAGTTAAATCCACCATGTATGAACAAAACCAAGGAAGGGTGTCGAATGATATTCACCTGTGAATCCCTTTGGATGTTGGTTGTATCACTCATAATGGCTTTTGCAATACCGAAGTCAATTAGCTTTAAGGAGCCTTTGACAAGAAGAAAATTAGCTGGCTTCAAATCAGAGTGAACAATGCGTTCCTCGTGTATGGTGTTTACAGCTTGAAGAATTTGCTGCCATATATGAAACATTTATATGAAAATTATTAATCTACAAGAACACATAAATGCTGCAAATGATGGAAACTTTTGCGAACTTGTTGAGTTCAGCGGCAAAAAATATGCAGCAGTAAATAATTTCTCCAACAGCACAAGGTTCCAAACAGCTAAAAGTTGAGGATTCTTTATTCTACAGGACCAATCAAAGGAAAACACATGCACCAAATATCATAACAAGCAAAAATTAAAACTATAGCAATAGGTTAAACGCTCCACGCAATGAATTGAAATTAATAAACTTCAGAACCTCAATGTGACTCCAATACCCAGAATAGTAGTAAAACAATTGTGTCTAAAGACGGGGTGCTGAGAGAGCTCAATGRTTATGATAGGAAGAAAAATGAAAATAAACTGCCAAAGTGAAATAATTAGAAGTGAATAAAAACTGTGAATAAATGCTGAGGGTAAAGAGAACAGAGGACATTAATAAAAGTGCAATTATTGCTTAACTTGATTCTAAATTGGTAGAGTGGATCACCTGCCAATAGAATCGAAGCCAATTTTCATCTATTGTCTGATCAGAGCCATCAATTTCCTTCCATTTCTGTGAGAGCATGTGAGCCAAATCAATTTCACCATACTCTAGCACCATGTATATATATCCGTCATCCTTAACCCTGACATCTTTATTATTCATGGAGCCATTCAACACTTCCTGAAGTAAAGTCCTATCTGTTACCTAGAAAGAGACAGGTTTTTAGTTAATTATGACACAAATAACCATGCATGACTGAAATATTCCACAGAATAGACACCAAAATTAATAAAACAAAGACTCCAGTTGATAACATTTGGGTTTCTGTTTTCTAGTTATGAATTAAACGTATTTACAAATGATTTCTTTGTTCCTAATCCAGTTTACTAAAAATGTTTTAAAAATCTGTGTCATATTTGAAAGACTAGAAATGACAGTTCTCAAAAATCTGTATTTTATTTTCAAATTTAGCCAAGATTCAAAAGTGCTTTTGGAAAGTGAAAAACTTGAGGGGAAAAAAAAAGGGTTTTAGCAAACGCAGCTTTTTTTTTTTTAACATAAAACTGAAAATGAAAATATTATCAGGGGCAAGTATTTTGACTACTAAAAGCAACAAGGAAAAAACATCTCGTGCCTTCTACTCATGGCCCAAAAGTCTGAGCAGCGGCTGAGAGAAGTAAAATGATCAGCATCCACAGAGTGAAAATGAGAAATATGTAATATGAAATTATGAATGAAAAACACAAACATAAAGGATATCAAGATGAAGGTACATACCTCATAATCTACAAGTTGTATAATGTTGTTCTTCCCTTTCAACTTATTTAAATACACAATCTCCTGACAGAACCCGTAAGCAGTGGCATAATCACGACCTTTAAGTTTAATTTTTTTAAGTGCATATATCGTGCAATCTGATGAGATGACTTTGTGAACCTCACTGCTTCCCCCACTGCCTATTTTTCCAAGTCTTTGATAAAGCTTTCCATTAACCTTAAAAAACAAGTCTGGATCATAATTCCTTTTACGAATTGATGAAGCACTCTTACCACTTGCAACTTTTTCTGGTTTTTCTGATCCAGAAGGGTCCAAATTCACATCAGAAACCGGTTTTTTGGGTACTTGAGCCTCCAGTTTTTTGTCAGTGGCATCCCCCATTAAACCTTTGCCTTCATTTGATTTACCATTATGTTGCAAAGCATGCTTTGGAAAATCACTTTCTCGTGCTAACTTTCCTCGTTGCTCCTTAGAGATGTCATATTGCCTTATAACTTTTTCAGTGTCAGCAGTAAGGCTAGGAGCACATATGGGATCCCATTTCACATTTTTTACCTCACCACTAATGTCCTTTAGAGAAGACCCTGATGTCAGCATCATACTTCTTTTAGCTTCATGTTGAATATTTGCATTAAAGTCACTCAAAGGTTCTGTTGCAACATTACCACCACTTTCCTGAAGCAAATGAGAGCAATAGGTTGTTGAATTAAGCATAGGTACTGAACTTGAATGAACGGACGTGGTGGTTGCACAAGATGGTCCAAATGAAGGCTGACTAACAGGTTGAGCCAAAAAGTCTCCAAATCGCTTGAGTTGATCTTCCATGGCTGGGGTTCTCTGTGCCAACATTGAAATCCCGCCATTATTCTTCATGTTCACATCAGACTCTGTAATTGGAAAACTTTGGTGCTTAGATTCGTCATGATTGATGACACTAGAAGCATCTCCTTGATTGCTGGTTATCCAATCCATCTCTGTCAACGCAAGTGAACCCATATGAGATGATAAGTTCTCCAATCCACTGGCCATTAGATCATGGGCCCCTACAAGTGGAAATAGAAGAACATATGCATTGCAGAACTTGGTACAAAACCAGTAAACTATACAACATAAGTGTCTAATTTGAAAAACATGCAACGTTCACAAGTGATAGTGGAAAACCATTTAGGAAAGGATATGATATCTAGACAGGCAAATATAAGACAACACTGTTTACCCTGAGATATCTTGTTACTTGTAATGGAAAACCGAACCATTTTCTGGCCATCAACATGCTGAGATCCTGTATTTAAAGTAGACGATGCCTTCCTAGATTGACAACCAGCACCACGTACAGGTTCATCTCTGTGCGCATCAGGTGGGAAACTTCCATCAAAGCTTTTGGTCATCAGGCCTGAAATAGAAGGTGGTGTTATTGATTCATCTTGAGTTTCTCCAATGATAGTCATTGTGCTCTTTGTCTGTTCAATCAAATCCTTCACTACATTTTCATGCTCCTTAACATTTTCTTCAACCCCGGACTGTGAACGAGGATTCCTCGACACCTCTCTTTGAGGAACTAACAAGCGCCTGGGTCTTATACTATTTGATTGCGTCACACCTGAAATTTCTTGTAATATGATTGTGGGACAAGTTATTTCGCCGATGAACAAACATAAAACTAAAATCATTACCTTAGATCTTATCCAATCTTTCTTCAAGCTACGCAAAATCATATTTGGTCCAGAATATTTTATACGTAATTATTATTTTAGTAGAAACAAGGTGTTCCTGGCATAAATGCTTCCAAGCAAGCCAGAAAATAAACTATGGAATAGCAATCTAAGGTAACTCCACAGATAAATACTGCAATGATTACTGAGAGAAAGAAACCATATAGTTCTCCTAAGAATTCACTGTCCCGAAACATTTTCCAATTCGGCAATTTAAAATCGGCGAAGATTGAAGCTTAAAGCGCGCCTAAAAAAAATTGAAAACTACCCTTCTTCGAGCTTCCATACAAGAGTTAGAGAATATCTACTAACTGAAGCGAAGGTATTTCTTCTCCTTCTAGCTCCAAATTAAACACGCATGCATATACATCAACCCAATTATAAGCATAATCTAACAAATAGAGTTAGAAATAGTTACCGAGTGGTCGATGGCGCTTAAAGGCGGCTTGAACATGTCGGAGGAAGTCCGGCGGTGAGGAGGAAGAAAACGACGACGAAGACGACGTTGTACTCTCTGCGTTGGTCGGACGACTCACTTTCGTCGCAAGTGCGGACGGGACCGGAAGGTTAGCCTCCCTGTCCATTGTCGGCTCCGAACGGCATTTCTAAGAGAGAAGTAACTACAGAAAAGAGGAGAACAATGAAAGAAGTGTTCTAATTACAGATATTTTCGCTCCTAGCCATCCCGATCCAGAGCTCAGCGCGAATTTCAGATGCTTGAATCAATGAAACTCTCCATTGTTGCAGAAGCACTGTAGAGACGGGAGCAGTGCGAGGGAAAGACTGATTTTTGAAAGGATCGCTTCGTTTCGATTTCGACCTGTCCCCTGTCGGAGCGCTCTGGAATTTGCATTGAATTGTAGTGGACCTCTTATTGGGCCTCCCTCTGGGCTTATGAGAGTCCATCAATGACTTGGATCGGACCTGGGCTTCCATTTACTCGAATGACCCATTTGAGTTATTTTTAAAATTATCTTGTTTTTCAGAAAAAAAGGGGAACTCGTCAGTAACGACTACAAGACACGGTAACAAAATATAGCCAAAGGTTTGGTAATTTGTACAGACGACCGAAATAGCAAAGAGTTGTTTCAAGGGTGGTAAATTTTAGGGGTGATAGTAAGATAATTTTACTATTTTAGTGCGAGGGTATATTTGTCCATATTTTTTAGACTGCCTTGGTCATTTTTCATTTTTCAAGTCGCACTATTTAATATTTGTCAATTCCGATGGTGGGTTATCTACTTTTCAAAAAATAATTTATTTTCCTATTAAAAAAATCACGGATTTAAGAATAGTTGCACATTAAACTTTATATTTCCGAGAAATTAATCATATTTCTTAAAACATTTTGAAGAAATTGTGTTTAAAACAAAGTGGTTATCATTTTGATCACATGAATAAAAATTGTGTGTATATGCTTTGCTTATAAGTTAGGACTCGGTGATTTTTGTAGACATGTAGGCTTGCAATATGATGGTGAAAGTGTAGACAGCATTGCTCCAATTCTTTTTGGTTATGGAAGCTTCACCTTAAGTTAGGGGGCTTTTACCACAAGGAATGAACTTCTCTTCCTATTTTGAATCCATTTATATTATTACTCTTTTGGTGCAATCATTTTTCTATTAGATTCTTAATATATGGTACTTTTTAAAGTAGATTGAAATTGTAGTTGATATATTAACAGTCAATTCGTCATATAAAATAATATATCCCGATCAAGTCATCGGACACCTCTGGGTTATAGGTTATTAATATATTTGTTAGTTGAGATATGCTCAAGTTAACAAATTATTATTGGTTGATTTATATGTTTAATGTCAATCACAAAGGTCTTGTTTGATAACCATTTAATTTTTGTTGGTGACTTTTAAAAATTGAGTAGAAACGTTACTTTCACCTATGTGTTCCTTTGTTTTGTCATACATGTTTTATAAACATTTTCAAAATCTAGATCAAATTTTGAATATTTTTTTTTCTTTTTTAATTTAGTTAGGGAGTTCAAATATGTTTACAAACATAAACATAAAAACGAAATACCTAATTTACTAATATAGGTGTCAATCGCCAACCATAGCATAGTTCAACCAAAAGATTGGAGGTTTGAATCTACAGACGCACTTTAGCAACTTTGTGGTTCGGTCTATTATATGTATTTAATTATATATATATTTTTAATGCAACAAAGGTGTGAACGGAGGATTGAACCTAACATCTAAAAAACGAGAAAGATGCCTCAAGTAGCGCGGGACAATTTTATGCTCGTTTATATGCTTAGTTATTTGCTCCCTTTGATTTGAATCAACATTTTATATGTTATTTCCTACATACCATTTTCACTCAAAGGGTACATATGCTGCGAATTAGTTTTCCAAGAAGTACTTGAAAAGAAAACAAACTTGATTCGCTAGTTGTGTTTAAGATAGGCAACCAGACCTTTTTTTTTTCTTTTTTCTTTTTAATATAAGATTTGAATTGCATCTGCATCCTTAAACACAATAAATTACTGAAACGGAAAAAAAAATAAGAATAAATTACTGAAAGGTGTGTTTGACACTTTTAGAGAAAAAGTGTTTAAATGCTTTCTCTAAAAACACTTTAAAATTTATCAAGCCACTCCCGATTATAAAAACTTTAGAAAGTCCGTGATTTCAAAATGTGAATTTTAGTCTGTTAGTTTCAAGTTTTTATTTATTTTAGTTGTAGTCACCCTTGAGACGTTTATTTTAGCCCGTGTATAATTTAAGAGTGAGTCTCTTCATTTTATTTCGTATCTCATTTTTTAATCAAAATTTCAACCCAACACTATATTCAAAATGTAGTCACAATTTTATATTAAAAATCTTCTGTTATATGTATAAAGTATATGTTAAAATTTTACAAACATGAATCAAAATGATCTCTTTTTAAAATCACAGCCGCACAAGAACTAAAATGAATCAAAATTTGAAACAATATTTTAATTATATATTATATATATGTTTAAGAAGTAGGTTACAACAGCTGCAAGATCAAAGTAGAAACACAAACTCTTGCAACAATTAAAGAAGTTATTTTTATAGCTTTAAGAGACAAAAAGATGTTCCGATAGAAAGAGTAATGCATTCAAATTCAAATCCAATACATGTATGATGGGCATTGGCAATGAAGTTTGAATGGGAAATAGGGGGGTGAGTTTTTTTTCCTTGAATTAATGTAAAGAAAGAAGAGTAGACAGCTTTATTCCATAAGAAATTGTGTGTTTTCAGTTTTGTGGTGATTTTGAGGCAAAAGGAATCAAGAGAGAAGGCAGCTTTTAGTGAAAGCAGCCTTCATTATGGTGTAATTAGTGTGTACCTTAATGTTAGGGGCACTTTGCTTAGCCCCAAAAAAAGCCTGCCTTGCCCTTCTCTTCCTCTTATCTCCCATAATTTGCTGTTGGGTATTTATGGGAAACCACAATTTTTCACTTCTTTTTTAACTGCCCAAAACACCCCTCTCCTCACCATCATTATTTTGCACCTATGATAAATAATTTTGTACACCGCTAACATTGGTGCTTTGGGAGCACAATTGTTGCTATGGACTTAAAAAAGTTTTGAAGCAAATACTCTCCTTTTTTTTTCCTTTTTTGTTAGTCAATTTTGATATTCAAATCAGAATTCTCGTCTCAAACCAAAATTAAGAACTCAAGTCTATGTTTGATATTTGAGTTTACTTATTTCAATCGGTGAATTTGTTACGTCATCTTACTACTTGCTAACTTTTACCGATTATATACTCCCAAACCAAATGCATGTTACACAAATCAAAGCTTCCATAATTTTTTTTCTTCGATTCTATGAATATCCAGGTCCGCTTATAATTTCAAGCAGCAATCACAAGATCCTACTCAAGAATAGTAAGAATCTATCCTAATATATGAGTCAAGAAGTGGTAGTTTGGTCCATTCCATTGTGATTATAAGAAGGAATTTGGCTTAACTACGTTGGGTATGAAAAAATGATGTGAAATTCATAATCGTAGAGATGGGGTATTGTTTAATTTTGTCAGTGAGTATGAAAGATGATAAAATCTAAAACAAAAGGCAGAGAAAGAAATGAAATTAAACTAGGAGGTGTATATAAATAGAGAGAAAAAAACATTTCTTCAACATAATTTACAGGGAACTGAATGTATTTTTTCTACTAAAAAACTAAGCATGGGGGACCTTGGGACCTCCAAAACCGATGCCACATATTGAAAAAGATTCTTACAATAATAATGAATAAAAAATTGTCCTGTTCAGAGCAATAAATTTACGAGTCAATTTATGGTGGGAAAAAAAAATCACTTATCAAAAAGTCCCACGAGTCCCCATATCCATAGTCCCTAAGCTAAAGGAGGTCCTCCTGTCAAGCTTCATCTTCAGCTCCATGTTGCTGAAGAAGTTTCTTCTTTTGAGATCCTGAAATAAGAAGAAAACCCCATTTCATTTACTAAATTGCCTCACTACTTTTTCAGATTTTATGATTATAAATGGCATCTGCCATGGCCAAAGCAGCGAAAACGCAGAGAAAGCTTACCAGACAGACCCAAGAAAACCAGAAACCGAAGCAGCAGAAGGCAGAGAGGCCGCCGTCTTGGGCAGTTGTTAGAGGCATATTCAGCTGCAAGTACCTGCAGCCCCAACAGCAACCAGAAAAACAACAACAACATCAATTGCCACGAAAAGAGAAGCAACAGGAGCAAGCGACAGAAGAGAGTACCAAAAACTGTAAGAAAATGAGGTGTTCGGGTTCGCTCTGTAGCAACACCAAGGTAACTCACAGGCTTGAAGCAGCACCATCGCCGGAAGTTCACAAGAAAAGGGCATTAACTTCAGTGGGTTCCAGAAACAACGATTCCTCAAGTTCATGTAGATCCACAAAAGCTCCTCCTTTGAACGAACAAAATGGTGTCTTATCAGCCACATGTTCATCGTTATCCGCATCATCTTCTTCCAATTCCTCCAATGGTGCTTCTTTCAGGGGAATGCCTTTCAGGAGGTTCTATGGCTGTTATGAATGTAAAATGGTGATTGACCCTGTTCTTGGGATGACCAGAGATCCTTCTCTTAGAGCAACCATTTGCCCCTGTCCCGAATGTGGTGAGATTTTCATGAAAGCTGAAACTTTGGAGCTTCACCAGAGTGTTAGACATGCAGGTAATTAAAACTTCCGATCCCTCCTTTTTCTGCAACCTTAATTTATCAGTTAATAAGGTCCGAACTTATTCTCTTATTGGACAATTTTTTAGTATCTGAACTTGGTCCTGAAGACACGAGCAAGAACATAGTGGAAATCATATTCCAGTCAAGCTGGCTGAAAAAGCAAACCCCAATTTGCAAAATTGAGAGGATTCTCAAAGTCCAGAACACTCCAAAGACCATCTCGAAATTCGAGGAATACAGAGACTCCATTAAAGCCAAAGCCACCAAGCTTCCAAAGAAGCACCCACGTTGCATAGCAGATGGTAATGAACTCCTCAGGTTCCACTGCACCACCTTGGCCTGCTCACTTGGCCTAAATGGCTCCTCCAACCTCTGCAATTCAATTCCACAATGCAATGTCTGTAGTATAATCAAGAATGGGTTCAAGGTGGCCGGAGAGGCCGCCGAAAAGGGCATTCTAACGACGGCAACAAGCGGAAAGGCTCACGACAGTGCCGGAATATCATCGGACAGCAATGACAAACGGGCGATGCTGGTTTGCCGGGTAATAGCTGGCAGGGTGAAGAAGAGTTTGGAAGGTAGCATGGAGGATTATGACTCATTGGCTGGAGCAGCAGGGATGTATTCCAATTTGGATGAGTTATATGTGTTCAGTCCCAAGGCAATATTGCCTTGTTTTGTTGTCATTTACGGAGGGTTTTAACTTATAGCTGCCATTAACGGCTTTTTGGTGGGCAAGAGTTGTCTGGATTGCCTTTGGAAAGATGTTGAATTTAATGGTATTGTATTGTGTTTTTGTAATTGGCATTTGGCGGTATGTTGGGTGGGGGTATTGAATGTGTCTTGGAGATGGAGATATCATCCACACAACCCTATGGAGGCATTAATTGCACATCGTGCACATTCAAAATGTACTTATAATGTGAAGACATTTGCCATACTTCTATAGATGAAGGGTGAGGATAATTATTCCCCTATGAAGTTAATGACTTCTGGAAATAATTTTAAACAACTATGCGTTGTCCTAAGAAACCACTTTTTCGAGATGGTTGTAAATAAATGCCCAGAGATCTTCTTTAAGATCAAATCTTAAAATAATTTCTTAGGCACATAAATTAATCACAAAAATAAGTTGACCTAACTACTCGAGGTAGGCAAACATTATTGCAGCAAAGAACTTCTATGTAGCCTTGTCCATGGGTGTGAGAGCCAATCTGAATATGGCCATCAACAACAGTTAGCCATCACTTGAGCTATTCAAAGTCAAGATAACTCTTCAGACAGCAATTCGCCAATGGCCCTTCACGTTGGCTCGAAAAAATATGGCATAGAGCAGAGAGCATGCCCCTACTCGCCATATTTTTTGAGCGAGTAGGGCCAACACAGAGTCTTCCCCCGCTCAATATATGACAACATGCCTCCGTACTCCGACATCTGATCCGCTGGGCTAACTAAAGGATTTCCTTTGTATTCAGCTCTTTGCCTACAAAAGCCAACATTTTATGTGTTACTCTGAATTTTTTCCACTCTCTTACCTAGTTACTTTGACAAGTACCAGTGCAAGGATTAGCAACATTCTCTCTTTTGCAGGTAGCAGAATGATAGTAGAGAAGTATGTGAATGTGAAGTCCTTACGCAGTAGAAGAACTCCCCATCTTTCAATCTGAAGGCCCTTAATTTCACCAGGGCTCTCTGATGACGGCTGCCTCCTTGAAATGAGTTGTAKCTGTACCACAACTCCTACGGCGGTTGTGAAAACTTCGAGTGAACCCAAAATAGGCCATGTGCTTGGTGTGGGTTATCTTCAAATCCAAGATATGCTAATTTATTTGTCTCGTTGGCTCGTAATCCCAAACTTTTGGAATTTTCTAGGTGTTTGATATTGAAGTTTACAAGCTGAGCGTGGACTTTGGTTAGACTGGGAACTTAAAGACCCCTTTTTCCTCTTTGGACTATGTTAAAAACTCAAGACTTGTACAAAATCCGTAAAAGAGCCTTGTAAAGAAGCGGGCAGGTAGTTGAGAGTTTGGCGCCAAATCTCTCTCTTTTTCTGCTGTCGTTATAATTTATTTCTATTCATTGGTAACAGTAAAAAATAAAGGGTAACAGTACCTCACGCCGGGCCTGAAAAAGGGGGAGCTGAGCCCAGCGAAAAATGGACTAGTGACTGACAAGTAAGCTAGGTAGTGCGTTATATGATTGCAAGAAGAAAGCAACAGAACGTAGGAATGCTTTCTTTTCAGACGACAATCTGCCACCAACAGTTCTGCCGGAGAGATGACATCCTTGAGGGATCAGTCGTTGGTCTCATCTTATTATAGCAAAATATTTCTAGAAAATGTTCACAAGCATATAAAATACTATTTAATGCTTTTAAAAATGATTTAAAAGCCATACTGACTCTGAGAAATGGGTTTAAATCGTAACAGAAGTCCGTCTATATCAATTTATAGAGGGGAGAGCAAGTGAGCAACAAATTCGCATGCATCCTATTTATAATTATAAAAAAGGTAGAGAATTAGCAGAACTCACGAAGTACTGAGGGTACAGTTAACCCTTTCTGATCTTGGCGGGGCCCAGGAATCATGTTCTTCGTTTTTGGAAAAACCCATTTTGTTCTGCCCAATTGAATGGCTTGAATTGACTTGGTCTAATTTCTGAAGCTTGTATTACCTTTTGCTTCTGGGCTTTAAACGCGAGGAAATACTGGCATTTACCGATTAATCTCCAAACCACGGCAGAGATGCAAAGAAATCAGAGCTTAACAACGTGTTGATGATTGGGCAACATGAGCTTATGCTAATTAGGCTTACACGAGAGGCCGTGCCCCTGTTGCATAAATAAAAAATGGAACTTGGCTTTAGACTTGCACCCTCTTATAATAGAAGAATGATATTCAGATATCGCATGTTTAATTTTGTTCTTGTAAGTCATGTCGTGGTCAGTAAACTCATCCCTGATGTTGGATAAATGCGAGGTCCAACTAATTAAAACTTGATAACTTATAAAAGGTTTAACAAAGATAATTTATGGTATAAGTGGTTAATTAATATTGTCCAACGATTTTAATTGTTTAGCATATGTATAGACGTAAACTGGCCACTAACTAAAATTATGAACGTTTGAAACAGGATTTCAAGGGTAACGGACCATAATAATGTACGGAAGTTACCATCTCTCCACCCAGGGACCAATGTCACGATCGGTCCTTTAGCCATCACTACTTTTTGTCAGTTGAGCATTCCCCCACTCTRCCAATTACCAACAGAATTATCAGTTTAGGGGGAAGCCATCAGAGACTTGAGAGGAAACTGAAGTTGACCGACTGTAACAACACATTATGATTATAACAAGTTGGAAATAATATATGACAGCAATTTCTGTCTAGTACGACCTTTTTTGGTTTTAAAAAATAAATAAATAAAAACCACTAGGCCTACCTTCCAGTTTCTTGAGTTACCAGTGGAGTGATCCTCTATGTTACGTCACCAGTTCTCTTCCCGCCAAGGCAGGACAAGTCCTTGAACAAAGATGAAAAGACCATGAAAAAAAAGATGCTCAGTTGATAATCTATCAGCTCGGTAATTATGGAATTGGAACGGAATGATGGTTGTATATCCTTTTTTTCCCTTTATTCTGTAATATGAATGACTTGAAATGACAGAAATGGACCCAGTAACACGGTGAACTATAATAACAAAAACAGTCAATGAACATGATCGATCAACTTTTACAATAGGCCAAACTTGGGAACCGTAACAAAATCCAGGGAGAAAGACAGAACATACTTTTTTGATAAAGAAGAGCCAAAAGAGAGGAAATTCAAGTTAAACCCAGTAATATAAATTTACGCCTTATTAATTGATTACGCCCCCAATTTCAGAATCAAAGAAAATATAGCAAGATTCAAGAGRCACCAGGTAGAGTGCAGAGTTAGAAGTGAATGATGTACCATGGACATAAAGGTGGGATCCCTATGAACTTTGGCCTCAATATCCACCACTCCTTTTCTTGTGTAGACTTGTTCGATTACCAATTGCATGAGATGATCGTCTTTCCAAGAGAGGTTAAGCCTAACAATTCAAAGAATTCTATTCCAGATATACAGAACATACTTCTGCTATGGATTAGGTGAAGCAGGGTGTTTTTAACTCGAAACCTCAATCCAGCTCAACCCAGCTCTTTTTGCTCCCACTGTTTTGGCAGCCTCTCTCGCTTTGCTCAGGGTTTGCCACATTCCCAGTGATGCATAAGCATTTGAAAGCGTCACGTACGTAGAAGGGTCATTTGGTGTGGCTTCAAGAAGGCCATCAGCAACACTGTTAATAAGCTTCGGATCATTGCGAGTTCCAATTGCCCCTAGCAAAGTGCGCCATGTGGTCTGATCTGGCTTAAACGGCATATTTGCAACCATTTTCTCAGCTTCTTCAGGAAGTCCCGCTAGAGCAAGAAGATCGACCATGCAGCAATAATGCTCTAAATGAGGTTCTAATCCATATACAGATTTCATGGAATTAAATATACTTCGTGCCTCTTCAACCAAACCAGCATATCTACATGCAGAAAGAACCCCTAGAAAGGTGATCTCATTTGGATTTAGCCCAACTTGAATCATCTCGTGAAAAAACCTGACTGCCTCAGCTGCCCTTCCATTTTGTCCACATCCTACAATGATCCCAGTCCAACTTACTATGTCTTTTTCTTGTATACAGCTAAACAACGTTAACGCATCCTCAATTTCACCGCATTTTGAATACATATCAAGAAGGGATGTGATTGTGAACCCCTCCATTTCATACCCACCCTTGACACAGAATGCATGAACCTGCTTTCCACTTCTAAGAGATGCTAAATTAGAGCAGACTTTCAGAGTAGTGGAAATGACAAAATCATCTATTTCATGAGCCGACGAAACCATATCTCTGAACATTGAGAAAGCTAGCCAGTTTAATCCCATTTGAGCACATCCCATGATCAAACCGGACCAAGCTATGATGTCTTTCCTCGGAAGCCTCTGGAACAGTTCCAATGCGTCATCAATGCTCCCCAGTTTTGCATAAAGATCCACAAGAATGCTTCCAATAACATAATCCAACTCATAACCACAGGTGACGATCAAACCATGTACTTGAAGAGCAACCCTCCGACTTAATACGTTGATACAAACCTTTAAAGCACCACCAAAGGTGTAAGAGTCCAATAATGCACCCGAGCAATGGATTTCTGAAATCAGATTCAAAGCTGCTTTGTCACAATTGTTAATAACATATCCTGAGAGCATCGAATTCCACAATGCCAGGTTATCAGAAATGGAAGAGTTGAAAGTAGAGTGTTGGTCAAATAATTTGACTGCTTCGATCAGGCCATTGCAATTCGAATACATATCAATCAGGGCAGACAGAGTAAAACAGCTAGATTCATAACCCAACTTGGTGACATAGGTATGAATTTGTTTCCCCATGAGTAATAACCCATGAAGCGCACTGATCTTAAGAGCACATGGAAACGTAAAACCATCAAGCTTAACGCCCTCTGTATTCATCATGGACACAAACTCCAATGCGCGCTGACTCCCATTGTCTGCAAAACCAGCAATCATGCTGTTCCAAGATACAACATTTGGCTGTGGCATACAATGAAAAAGTTTTTCGGCCTCCAACATCAAACCAGCCTTACTATAGCCAGAAATGATAATGTTCCAAGAAGTTGTGGTCGCACACGAAATATTGTGAAAGACTTTCACAGCATCATTCAAACTTCCACATTTCACATRCATATCCATGAGAGAATTCATCAAAATAGCATCAGCCTGCAATTTAGCTCCATATATTCTTTCTTGAATCAATTTACCCAAATCCAGATCACCCACAAGCCCACATGCCTTCAGAACCGCGGAGTACATGTACCCATTTGSCGGCTCTGATTTTGGCATATCATTATATACTCGGAGAGCTTCATAGGGTCTTCCACTATCAGTAAATGCAGAAACCATGGTAGTCCAAGTAACAATATTCCTGTCAGGCATTTCATCAAACACCTTCTCTGCGTCTCGTAAATTCAAAAACTCCGCATACATGGAAACCAAATTGTTCGCAAGAAACACGTCGTTCAGACACCCAAGTTTCCTCAAATAAGCATGAATGGCATTGCCTTGTTTGAAAGCTTTAACTTGCGCGCAGTGGCGCAATTCCTTCGCTATGCGGTTCGCATACATGACTAACAAGAACGTGGGGACTRTACTATCCTTCCGTAGCCATATTCGTACATCTTAATGAGAAATTTAAAGCAGCGGTGGAGTGAATCACAAACATATAAAGCAGTTTCGCAAATTTGACATGCACGTTCCTTGCACTGCACATGGGTATGGAGGGCTCGGCATTTCAAGAGGATGTCCGAAATGGGCAGGAAGAAGAAGACTAATTGTACTGTGGCGGAAGACGCGCTTGATATGCATTTGCTTCCACAGTTGGCAGAATCCATAATTTTCTAATTACATTGTTCGGAACCAATTTTATAATAAGTGCACTATTTGTTACGGTGCTGCTACGGATTTGCTAGCCATCGAACAAGTTGTATTGTCTTAAAATGGGTTTAGGGTTTAGGGTTTAACGCCAAAGTGAGTATAACTCAATGATAATTGTCATATATGAGATTCTGTCACCACTCTCATATATTATAGTAAAAAAAATTAATTTAACAAAGTTATTATCCACCGTCACTGCATGTGTAAATCGAGGTGTTCCTAAGAGCGCAATGGATTCGTAAAAAAAAAGGTGGTCTAAGTTGAAAATGATTTTTAAAATAGTGTACCTATAAGGAGGCTCATTTATTTAATTCAGCAGACACTGGTTCTAATCAGTTACAAAAATGTGATAAACAAGTATGAAATTCTCCCAGCTTATGATGGCAAATTAAGCCATTTAACTATGGCGAGTAGACAAAAGGATTGTATTTTAGTTTACATTCTCAGAGCTCCGGAAGCTCCAACCCTATCACGAGGAATCAGGCGTAGTTCAGAGCCATGCTTGAGGAAGACGTTGCCTGCAAAAAGCACAACCAAAGATTTCAACTGCAAATGGAATATTATGGCCTCAAGCTTCATTTCATCACAAAAAAAAAAAAAAAAAAAAAAAAAATCTCATACAAAATAATTTTGATTTTGAAAGAAGCAATATCAATAGTTCTGTTTTAGTTTACGCGACCATATACGGTTGACTTGGTTTCATAAAATCACAGAAAAATTCCAACCCCAGTCACCAATAATAGCATCTCCTGCATCCATATATCCTCACGGAAGTATGTTTTTTTTTCGTGCATTATGCAGTTCAGAATATTCTTCTATAGTCGGGAAGCTTAAATAACATGAAAGTGAGCACAACAGAGGCCAGGACACTAAAAATTTAGAGCTTAGGAATAGAGCTTACCAGCACTTTGTTGAGGATTTATTCCAACGCCATCTGCAAGTCATATGATCAATTTTAGACACCTAAAATAAGAGGCTAAACGACTGCAATGATAACTATAATATTAGTGTGTCTCAAAGCACATAGGGGGATCAAATGAAATGTCTATATTGAAGAAAATGCAGAACTTGTAATGGATCCTTAAATCTTTTCCCCCAGAAAAACAATGGTGCATAAAGGATCTCAAAATCTAAACAGTGTCATTTTAATCAAAAAGACTAGTAATGGTAAGAAACAAGGAAGCGCTAATACCAAATGATACAAAATCAAAAGGCATCGAAGAAGCTATGATACCAAATGATATACTCAACCCTACTACAAGTGGTTTAGACAATCCTCATAAGAACAAGCACCTCCTAAACACACACGGCAACACCTAATACACACAATGAATCACTTAAGGGAAAGGAGAAACGAACTAACCTTGATGGTCAAGGCTTTGAATAGAAAAACATGTTCTCAATCCAAATTCAAAACAAGGCTCAAAAGCTCTTCCTTTCATCCATAAAAAAATCTCCTCCTCAAATGTACATAGGAAGTGAAAGTTCCCCTCTTTGCTCCAAACCGAAAGCATGATACATCATAGCTTAGGTTGCATGTTCCTTATAAACATTCAAGTTTGATTGATTATCAAACTTGTGGGGTGTTTCAAATTTGGATTGAGAACGAGTTTCTCTATCCAAAGGCTTGAAATCAATGTTATTTCGTTTCTCCTTCTCCTTGAGTATTGCCTTGTGTGTGTACTGAGTGTGTTTAGGAGGTCCTTGTTGTTATCTGGGTTACCTAAGCCATTTGTAGTGGGGTTGAGTACATCAAGTACGAACAAAAACATGACCATTTACCCACGTCTCACTAGTTTATGCATTCTAAAGCACGATCTCCAACCTTTATACCATCAGTAAAATCATGAAGCAACTGCAGATATTTATCTCAAGCACTCTGCAGTTGCAATTTATTGCAAGTTCAAAAAACTTTTTTTCTCTATCTGTGAACAAAAGCCTTGCCTTTAGTAGTTTTGCTTCCATATCAGTACAATAAGAAACTAGACGAAGAAGATTTTCTCTGAGAAGTCAAAAAGAATCACGAGCATGTCTCATCATGGGATCAAAAATATGATGGTAAGATACGAGTGAGTTTAACTAACATCAAGTATTACATATAGCACAATAACAACACTCATTTCCAAGTGCGTACTGGTAAGTTTGCAAGTCACGAATTGTTGAACTAAAACTAATTAAGTTCTTGTGCTCGCATATAATTTTTCTCATATTATACTATTTTTGACATCTTTTTCATCGCTCTGAATCTTCAAACCAATTAATTCGAATCAGCTGCAGTTATATACCTTAAATACAGAAGATAATAGACAACCCTCAATCGTGATGAAGTAATATGACGGGTTCAAGAAAAATTTTACGTTTCTAATAGAAAACAACCCAACCTTACATCAAAACAATTTACATTTGAGAATGAAGGTTTCGGAAGAAAAAAAGGGGTGGGCTCTAACACTAATGCTGACCCAATCTCARTCCAATTACCAACACCCGTTTCTCTCGGAAGACCTTACGCTGCGTGTTATTGTGGGCAGATCCCAAATTTTAAAACACAGAAGAAATTTCATGCATGCAGCTCCAATCACAATCGAATCAAAATTCAACGAATAAATAAGAAATTGATTACCGTTGGTGATGATGGCGCTGGTTTGCGGAGGCACCTTAAATTCTTCAGCGGCAAATTTGAGGACAGCGGTGAAGGGCGCGGCCTCTGGAACACTAAACCTGAGAGTCAAAGAAATTGAAAAACGGTGAGATTATATCTTAAAACTGGACAAAGGGGAGGGGGGAAACCCTAGCAACGAAAAAAGTAGGGTTTGAGATTACGAACACTTTAAAAGGGAGCTTGGGGTCTGAGGTGAGAGTGACTTTGAAGGAGACCTTTCCGCCACCAGCACCCGCCATTTCCGAGCTCTGCGATGAAGGTTGAAACTCGTGGATTTGAGGAGATTCTTCTATGTATAAAAAGCCTAAGCCTATAGGTACGGCGAACTTATTCGTCCGGTATTTTCCTTTTCTTTTCTTTCTAGATATATATATATAATCTCAAAAAGAAAAAAAAACTGTAAAATATATACCATTTCAGTTTTTTTAATAATAGTTTTGAATTCTTACCTTACAAATTGTACTTCAAAAGAAAAAAGTTTTGAATGCTTACATATTAATATTCATTTTCTGATTTACCACTATTAAAATTTTAACCGCTCTTTATTTTAAAAATATTATATRACACATATTTCTTTTTTACATTTTTTTTATTATCAAGATTTCAATAGTGATTAGAAAGCTATTTAACATGGTTGTACCATTTTTTCAATTAATAATGAGAAATTTCTATTAAATTTATAATGTCTTAATCAATTGATTTAGATAGAAAACAAAATTTTAAATCTTTAAATCTATTATAATCTCATAGTTAAATGTCATTTGAGTTAGTAAGTTGATGTTTTTTTAATAATTAAATATTTACAAAAGTTTACTTTGTCCTTTCTAATTAAAAAAACATAGTAARATTGTGACATATTTCCTTAACAAGTAGTATCAATGAGAATTTTTTTATTTAGGTACGATGGAATGTATTTAACATTTAAATGACAGCAATGTTTATTTTATATTTGTAAGAACTATCATTCTTTTATCTAATTTTTGTGATGTGATTTACGCTTTTTTTTTTAACAATATGACATTATTAGGAGGGTGAAAATTCATCTACAAAAATAAGTATAATTAGTATTTTAACTGATCAAGCTACATTGTTCAAATCTATAATATTTAAAATATTTTGATACATTGAGTAAATTTGGGTACCAACCAATTAAAAATTTGAGTAAATTAGTTGTCAAACTAGGTTTTTTTTCCCCATTTTAAGTAGGCGTGGTGTGTCAGGTGCGTTTGGTTAAAATTTTCTTTAAAAAGAAAAAAAACAACAAATTGTTTAGATGGAAAAACTTTCAACTTTAGATAAATCCAACTATAATTTCTAATTAATTTAAATAAGTTAATTGCATACATTGAGTATTCATCACCTAATTCAAGCCAAAGTGGAACGAAACTACATATGGATTATAATAATTTATTTACATTGATGCAACGATATTTTTCTTGGAAATGAGGATRAAGATTCGAATAAGGTATGGAAGAACTCAATTAAATTTTGCATAATTGGAAACAATACATAGTCCACAAGACAACCCATTTGGCTATCTTGCACCCGAAGAAAAATCAAATAATCACCCACACAAAATAAAAGAATAAAAATATATATATTTACAAATGTGAAAAATATGGAGTTGGGTCTTAAAAAATAATTCGAGAATTGACCATAAATAAAAATGCTGCCATTACAGCCGCTCCCCATCCTCCGATGAACGATTTCAAGCCATTTGATCCACTGCATACCAGCTTTTGGTTATGGTAACTGCACACCGGCTGGTTCCTACAACGCCCAAATTATCATTTTATTCTGTTAATTGATTGTAATGGAGTTTAAGTCAGAGAAAATAAAATAAAATAATAAAGGGAAATGACTAAGTTTTTGTATAACCGTTTGACAGAAGGTCATGGAGATCAATTATTGAAACTAAAACTAAATCTAGAGACTAGAATGAAACTATTTTGATATCGTAAAAATCTAACAAAAACTTATAAATTTAGGGAAGTAATATGAAACTTTTTATGGACTTAATCTCTTCTTTAAAATTCTACCCACTTATTCAAACGACTATGTTTAATAATTATTGTATTTTTGGTTTTATATTTAAAAAAAAATAAGCTTACCACGGTTACTTCCAATTATATGATCTAGGGCCTATCGTAAAAATTCGAGAGTACAATTCGTTTTTATCAGTGGAGATTAAGATGCTACGAATTTACATGTTTCGAAGAAATGTGTGAAAAACGCAAAGCTCTTGGAAAAATACCCCAATAGAAACAGAAACACATATATTTATTTAATTAATCAGCCTTAAAATGATTGTAATTTTGAGTTTGTTGGTACCTGGATGAGCAGAAGCTGACGACGTAATCGGCGGCGGTGCAGGTGAAAATACTGGTGGGATCATCGTAGGCGTAGCTGTACGCCGTGGGGCACGCGCTCTTAAACTTCTGCGAATAAAACGTGGGCCGGCAAGTCATGGAGTTCCCATAAACTCCTCTGCAGCAATACTCGTCCGTGTTGAACACGTCGCACGCGCTCCGGCACCCCACCACCTTCCCCTTCGCCTTTACCGCCAGCTCCGACGGGCAGTCCCCTCTCAG